ATGAAAGAATCCGAGGATAAGGAGGGTCAAGAAGTGTACGGAATGTTGAAGGAAGGAATAGGGTTCAAGGACTACCTACATGGACCAATGGATGCAGGAACAAAGCTTAAGGTCAAATTCAGGACCGGGGACATAGGCCTTCGAGAACGTCGACGAAGACATAGGACGGTAGACGAGGAAGACGACGAGTTCAAATGTGATTGCGGCTTCGAATGCGAAGACCGTGTTCATGTAGTCGCGGAATGTCCGTTGTGCAAGAAAGAGAGGGAAGTGTACGTGACTGAGCTGGGAAAAATAGCAAGGACGTACAGGGAGATGTTTGAGGCATGGAATAGAGAGGAAAGGACGGTAGCTGTACTGGGGCATAGGAGGTGGGTTGAAAAGGCGGGAAGGGATATCGTTAGGATAGACAGACTAGGGAAGACATTTTTGAGCCANACCTTTGGCAAAGTAGAAAGCAACGATTGGCCATCGGTGATCGGTCCTGTGGGAACAATGCTCCGTCCTCTCTAGGACGCGTGGTCAATGGTGGTCTAACCACTAAGGCATGCAAAACATGAAGAGTACGCCCCCCCCGGTGTTTGCAATCGGGGTTGGATTTTCGTCGCTTGGCAATGACTTTGTAAAACGAGCCAATTCACCTCGTGAAATCGGGTTACCGTTTTTTTTTTTACCTGTGTTCTTTTTTTGCGGTAACCATGAATGGTGGTCGAGTAGATCATGTTGTGCGGGGTGGAGAACCCTCACTCCGCGCAAGGGGGATGATCGCACCACGTTTGGTTAAAATGGTCAAGCATCCTCGAGGCAGTTACACACAGTGCTTAGAACTGTCTCTGGAAGTGAAAAGCACCAGAAAATAAATGAAGTCACACGCAGCTGTCATCCGTACGCAAGGAAGTAAGCACAAGATGCCGAACACCCTTAGCAGGATGCAAGCCACCCTTCATGCGACTCGCCGAATACCTCATGGCGCTTCGCGCTTGATGATGTGAGAGCCTGGTCCGGTGAGAACCCGGCGTGCTCCGTCCCGGCTTTGTAGGGATGCGAGGTCAATGGTCTAACGACTACGGCATGCACGACTATGAGTACACCCCCCCCCGGTGTTTGCCATCGGGATTGGGTTTTTGTCGCTTGGCAAGGACGTTCTAAGGTTGTAGAACAAGCCAATTGTCTTCGTGAACTCGGCAACCAGGTTACCGTTTTATTTTTTACCTCTGTGTTTTTTTTGGCGGTAACCATAATGGTGGTCGAGTAGATCATGTTGTGCGGGGTGGAGATCCCTCACTCCGCGTAAGGGGGATGATCGCACCACGTTGTGTTAAAATGGTCAAGCTCCCTCGAGGCAGTTATATGCCTTTGTATTGCCTTCGGCCTCTGTGCTGTGTTTCTTTCTTTCTTGTCCTTCCTGCCTACTCTGCTGTGTTGGGTACCATGATCTCGCTTTTGGTGTTGCTTCTGTTTTTGTACATCTGGCTGTCTGCCCATCTGCCGCCTCCTTGTCCTATTTGCTCCGTTACGCCCATGCCCTGGTGCATAGTGCCTGGTGCTGGTACATTACCCTTTGATTTTTTCTTGAGGCGGGTGTGGGAAGCGTCCTCCTTTATTTTTGTTGTTGCTTTTACTTTGATCGGTTCCCGAGAGCTCCTTCCTCGAACGGTCGGTGCTGTACCTGTTCTTTCTTTTCTATCATTTTGTTTTCTTTTTCCGAGTGGTTTGTGCCCTGTTGTTTTGTTTCCCCGCGGCGTCGGATGTGCCGGGTTTTGAGACCACGGGCTCCCCATTTTTTGTGGACTATAGCTACTGCGAGAAACAACAACAACAAACAACAACAGTGCTAACAACTGTGTCTGGAAGTGAAAGCACCAAAAATGAAATTTAGACATACGCAGGTGTCATCCGCATGCAAGGAAGTAAGCACAAGATGCCGAACACCCTTAGCAGGATGCAGCGCACCCTTCATGCGACTCGCCGAATATCTCATGGCGCTTCGCGCTTGGTGATGTGAGAGCCTGGTCCGGTGAGAACTCGGCGTGCTCCGTCCCGGCTTCGTAGGGATGCGAGGTCAATGGTCTATCGACTACGGCATGCACGACTATGCGTAGTCCCCCCCCCCGCCCCCAAATGACCCTCACTTTCGATTACATGTAGTAGGCATGTATGTCTTGAATATTTTTGTTTTTCGCAGACCCTTGCACAGACGTAAAATAACCGTACTCCGGGCACTTGCGACGTGGGGAGGCGAGGGCTGAGCTTGCACCATGGATGCACGCACGCATGTACTGGCTGTACGCACGCAGCAGGAGCACCATCTTGCTACAAATGTACTTGGAAGTATTTACATTGTTTTTTCCCCTGTATAAAAGCGTAATAAATCTTGCTGAATCTCACCTGGAGTTCATCCTCGTTTTCCAAGAAAAAGATTCGGCACTTGTCCACCTCCCAGAGGAGAGCGCTGAAGAACGGACACTCGCATTGCCGCCGCCGCCGCCGCCACTGCTGCTGCTGCTGCAGCCCCCACTGTGCGTCCCCTTGGGTAGGAGCAGCCCCTGCTGCTGTGCTATCATCTCCAAGCGCCGTCGCCGGGCTGGCTGCTGCTACGCCAAAGGCATTGGCGGTGGCAGCTGCCACTGCTGATGCAGCGCAAGACGAAGCCGAATTTCTGCAGCATGCAAGTACAACGGCGGCCGAGGAGGGAGTTTCACCATAACCGGACGCCGTTTCCAGTCCATCGCGACAACTATCCCTGACGCCACGGGCAAGCTTCTCGTCCTCATGCGGAGGCGTGTCGCTTCCGCTGTTGGTGCTGTTGCTTTCCCCGTTGACGGCGCGGTCACCTGTTGCTGCTGCGGGGGCATTGCTGGAGACGACAGCAGCAGTCAACTCCAAGCCCGCCGCCGCCGGCTCTAATTCCTCCTCTGTCCGATCTGCCCTTGTTGTGTTCACCGATGTAGGAACCCCCTCCGCATCACCGCGATGACTTGCGCCATTCTCCGTAGTAATCTTGCCCGATGCAGCAGCCGTGGTTGACGTCCCCGTTGTTGATGCTGGCGGCGTGGCGGCCGCTGCGTCCCGAGGCTGCGCGCGCCGGAGGTAAGCATCGGCGTGCAAGATGGGATCGGTAACTGCGGAAGTTTTACTCCGCTTGTGCTGCTGTTCCAGGGAGCGACCATCATCATCACGAGGTGTGCTGCCGCCCCACTTCCTTTTCTCAGGAGCGATGCCCGGTCTCCGCGGGGGGGCTAATAATGCTGCTGCTGTTGCTGCATTTGATTCTCCCAAGGGGGAGCTGTTGCTGTTGTTAGAGGCCGCCGCCGCCGCCGCCGCCGGCTGCTTCAAGACCTTCTTGAGCTGCTTGTAGTTGACCCAGAAAGGGTACCACTCAGGGTCGGAGACGTCCATCGCCCTCGCGAGGTGCTTGGCAAACTTCATAGACTATATACTCTGATAACCTCTTATATTTTTCTTGCTGTGCCAATCCTGTCGGTTGATGTGTGTGCGCGTTCTGACCCGACCCGAAAGTTCTTCTTCCCTGCTCGCCCCCTTCTTCCCTTGCCAATGGTGGACGGCCAGCACAAAATACCGCTCTCGGCAGTGTAGGCCGACCACCAGACGTGTGCCCTCCGCCCTCCCTGATTGGCAGGGGAGCTTGAGCGCTGTTGTGCTTGAACGGCAAGGCGTGAAAAAAATCGAAAGAGCCCGCGGCTGCAGGCAGCAAGTCGGACACCTTGCCGAATGCTTCTATAACGTCTCAGGGACCCTCGTCACACGCTCGCGCGGCTACGGAGCGACCCCCTGTCGAAAACTCCGAACGCAAAAGGATGATGAACGAGCGTTATTCCGAAGGTTGAAGCAACCCACAGCAGGCACGGAGCAAGTGTTGTGAAGAAGTCGTGAAGAACCTATGGAATGGTGAGAGCAAATGACAAAATGACACACGCACATGACATACATGTTGTTGTCTTCACATTAAAAACCGTTCCGAACTCTCTCTACCCGAGCAGTTGCCCAATCAGCTGAGAGAGGGGCTCCGCTGGAAAACAGAAGTACGTACCACACGGACCCGCCGTTTATGACACTGAAATCTAGACAAGACCTGCAACACAACGCCCGCCACCGCTGCAGGCCCAGACAAAGGTGTAGCAGTACGTGCATAACGCGCAGTGTTTCTCGCACACGTTGGTGTACAAGAGCGTGTGTTTAGGATTGGACAGGCAAAGCCGCGTTGCCGATCTCGCCCCTCGCGGGGTGTGTGTCGGAAGAACAGCAGCGGCATCATCATGCGGAGAATGTTCTTGACATTTACGGCCGTCCTCGTAGCAGTGGCCTGCGCGGGGCTGTCCCGAAATGCAGGGAGCAAGTTCGTCAGGTGCGTTTCAGCGAGCGTAGGCCATGGGGCTCTGAGCCTCTAGTGAACAACGGCTTTGTATTGTTGTTTTGTGTGCAGCAGATCGATGTCACTCACTCTCGGACTCGTCTTTATTTACTAATAGAAAAATGTTGGAAATACACAGTTTCGGACTGGGGCTCCAAATTTTTTTGAGGTACGAACGTTTCCTGGAAACTTCGTGCAGGTGAAATTTTTCAGATTTAAGCGGCTTCATGTGATTGGCTGTGGGTCAACGGTCCTCCCACGAACTTCCCCTGTCCGTAGGTGCTGTTGTTTTTTCGTGGTGCGCTGCGTGAGAGCTAGCTGTGCGCCTTGCTTGATGACAAGGGCTCTCACTGCTGCTGCTGTTTGAGTGTGCGTGTGTGCGTGCGTGCGCGTGTGCGTGCGTGCGCGTGTCCGTGTCTGCGTCGCTCCCTGAATCCCAGCACACGAAATCGCACCACACCAGTACGGAGAGAGGAAGTGATTACTGTACACTGGCCGACGACAGCCTCTGAACGAAGTGCTATGTCGCGTTTCAAGCGTTCGGGAGAGAGACGGGGGGGTTGGGACCGGGAAGCACATCCGATTGCAAACGCTTTTCTTTCTAGTAGACTCCAGAGAAAATACTCGTGCGCGCGGAAGGACGCGCCCGCCGTCACCAGGAAGCCACTACGTGCTCTTCCTCCTCTCTGCTCTTCTTTGCTGGCGGCGTTGCCACCACCTCTAGGTTCGTGCGCTTTTCCTCCCCCTTGCCTCAATCTGACGGGCGTGTTGCTGACCTCAAGCCAGCCGGAAACAAACCCAACTTTGTGACCGTGCAGCCTCCCTGTTTTTGAGTTGGTGGCGCGCCAACTCCAAGGCCTTTCGCTAGGCACTGGCCTTCTCTTTGGCCGCGCTGACATGTTCTCAGCAGACTGCTGTGTGTGCGTGCGGTGGTGCGTGTGATGTGTTACTTCGAAGAAAGTTGCCAAATCGAAAAATCGTGAACAATTTTCCACAAACCAAGCCTCCCTCGGCTCCTATGTAATTTTTTTCCTTGTTGTGGGTTCTGGCGAGACTGTCAGGAGCGATCCTCAGAACGACGGCTTAACTCAAAACATGTTTCCTTGTTTCGAAAAAAATTTGAGTCCGAAACTGTCAAAAAGTAGTAAATACTTCCATGTCGTTAACTCCTCTGAACTACAACGCTTGACGCGAATCACATCGAACATGTGCACCCACGGCAGGAACTTCAACTTTTCCAAGCAAACCAGCAACCGGAGGAGCATGGTTGTTGCTGTTCAAGTTCCATGCCGACCGCACGCCTTGCAAGCCCCCTTTCAATGATCGGGAAGGTGTTATGGTGTCGTGAACGCAGCACTTTGTCCGATTCAGAACACCGCGATATGCCCCAAGTGTCATCTATTCCTTGTCCGGCCTTGTCGTCACTTCTGTGTACAGCGGTTCAAGTAAGAGTGTTGTGGGAGATGTTCCGCTAGAAGCTAAGAATCGAGCGCGGGATTTCGTAGGAGACACGGTGACGACACTCTATGCTAGAACATACAGACAGTGCTGTTAAAATGGCATGGTCGATGATGATTACTGTTGCTTCTCTCCTGATGCACCCGCAGGACAAGGGTTCAGCAGGGCTGCCGCCGGAATTACGCCAACGTTGCCACCGCCCGCGCGCGGGAGAAGCCGTCGCTTGACCTTATCTGCTGTACCGGAAGCGTGGAGGATGACGGTACGACAAACGTGGTGGCCCATTTTGTGTCTGTGTTGAGTTGTTGCAAAGTAAGTCCATACTGAACAGGTGTGCGAAGCGAGCGAGGTGTGCAGCATGGGATAGAGGGGTATGTAGCGAAATCGACCGCGGAACCCCCTCCCGTAAGCTCCCTCTAAAAGGGGAGGAGGCAACTCGATGGCACGAGAAACACTTGCCTGTTTCGAGGCTAGCGTGGAAGTCCTCTACAACTTCAACATACATATAACAATGCCTTCAACATGTGCGTTGTCGTCGGCTCCGCAAGAGGCATCGATTGGCATCGATCGGTGTTTGTTTTCCCTTTCCGCACGAGGAGAAAAAAACGGTCTTGATTTATTTTCCTTGGGTTCATCGATGGAATTTTTCGCGGGGGGTCAGGCGAAACTGCCTCCACCCCCCCCCCCTGCG